TTTCTGTGCACAAAAATTTATTTTGGAGGCTTGGCAGAGAAGTTATCAGCTATAGTTAAAAATTTTTAGTATGTTTGTGATTAGTATCTCTGGCTTGTTTCAGCTTAATGCAGTCCTTAATGCCACTGTGGACAGCTTCATGCAAAGCCAAATCAGTAAAAGCAATACATACTAGCCAAAGAAATAGCGTGGGCTGTCACAGTTGAGCTGTGTCTTAGAAAGAATTTCTTCAGTACAGCATGCTTAATGTGTTTGTTTTTGTTTTAAAAGGTGTCACACTGAGAGCAAATTAGAATAGGTAAGCCAGCAGCAGAGCTATGTTTTGGGGAAGAAAACAGCATCTTGGTGCTTCAGCTCTACTACCTCTCTCAACCCAATGAAGGGTCTCAGTGGTAGCACTGCTCATTTCCACTTAACTGCAACTACATGACAGGGATTAAACAAGGGTTATAGAAAAGCACCTCTCATTCAGGATGGGGAAGAGGGATGTTCTTTAGGTGTCTGTACTGGTACCAGCAGGCTGCATGCTCCTGTGCACTTGTTTGTGCTATAAAATGTGTGATGGCACTAACGTGCAATTGCATTAGTGGCCACAGTGGTCGTTCTGAGTTTATTGCTATTGAGCTTCAAGAAAGATGTTTTCAGGATTGTCGGAGGAAGATGGGGATTAAACTGGTAAGTAGGATTCAACTTGAAGTAAGCACAAATAGAGGGCACGGGGTTATCCTGTTTGTTCCAGTCCACACAGCAATAGATAGAATTATGGCAACTCTTTAATATGTGAAGAAAAACTGAAATTCTGCAATACTGGAGATGTGTGCAATGAAGAAAAACGTGCAACATTAGAAGTGTATAGATTTGCTGGATTTAGGATGTTGTTGTAATTTAACCCAGCAAACATCTAAACACACCACGAAGTATGCTTGCTTGCCCTCACCCTACCCTGGTGGGATGGGGGAGAAAATTGGGAGATTAAAAGTAAAGAAATAGTTGAGATGAAGACTATTAATAACTAAAACAACCCAAACTTAAATAATGATAATGCAAGTTAACTGTAACAAGAATAGGCACAATGATAGTAAAGCAATCAAAGGGCCCAAACAAGAAGCAGGAAGGAGTCATCCCCTGCAAGCTCCCCAATTTATAGTGAGTGTCATGTTTGTGGGTAGAATACATCTTTCATGGTCAGCTTAGATCATACCCAGATCATCTGTCCTGGGTCACCTATCCTAGAGAGTCTCGCACTCTTGCTCCCCCCGCCTCTGTCTTGAGCAAAGAGAAGGGAAAAATAATAATTATAATGATGATAATAATACTAACAATAACAACAATAATAATAATAGAGAAACTATAACCACAGGTGCAGGCAAAACCTTGAAAAACATAAATACCTGCCAGTGAGAGAAAACAGTAACCATATCAGCTTCACAAGGAAAATAACTCCTGGCCAAAGCTCCAATTTGTGTTCATTTAAAGGGAACATTACTTTCTCAAAAATCCAGCTCTGGCTAAACTATTAAAAGGGATTCCACAATTCAGTCCTAGCAAAATCAGAACAAATGTCAAACCTAAATATCCCCCATTTGAGCCAGAACCCTTTCAAAATGTTGGGTAAGAGAAAGAACCTCTGTCTGGATCTGCACCTGTGAACATGTTTCAATAGGATACTATGGGAAATTCTCTGTGCCTTGTGTCACAGAAGGAAGACTTCCCTATCAGTGTTTCAGCTATATTAGTGCTTTGGACAATGAAGGTGCTAAATAAATTGTCTAATAGCCAATATGCTCTAAATTTACCATTCTTTTAGCCTTTTTGGTTGTGAATTTCACTTCCCCACCAATAATCTCAGTATGTATCAAATTTGAACAGACAAAGAGAAATAGAGAGAGGCCTAGTAAGCGTAAGACTGTCATAACTTATAACAAGGTTATAATATGCAGAAGTGCTGCTTACCGTATCCTGCAGTATCCATTGCCACTGCTAGGAAATCAGTGTAAGACAGGTAAAAGTAAATACATTTTTGCACAGTGGGTAGGGAAGTTCCAGAATTCATTGCCACAGCAGGCTGGGTTGAGACAGTATAAGCAGATTCAAAAAGAGATTAGAGACATTCATAGGCAACAGATCTAAATGCTAAGTAGATACAACAGAGAACAAGAGATGTGCCCTCCAACATCCTCGGTAGAATGATTGTGGGTGCTGGCAGAGTACAGGGGGAATGGATCACAGAAAATGGCTACAAACACGTGCTTTCCTTGTCACTGACCACAGCAGCACACTGGCCTGAGTGCATGAGCATGTCTCATGTTCTTAGCTCGCTTCTGCCTGACTAATGGTTTAGACCAAAGTGTCTCAAAGCTTTGCAGCAGTACAGGCAACATCTAATTCTGTGGATGTGACAAAATTGCTGCCTTAGGTACCAATCTCCCTGAGAGCAGTGAGATGGAGAGAGAGCTGTGCTTGGCCACCATGATGTATTGACCACGGGCTGGCTGCCCAGGAATTGCTTTGTTTCTGCCACTAAGTCAGCACAGGATGTCTTAATATTAACTGTTAATTATCAGTTTCCCCGACACCCAGAGTGCGTAGATCTGCCTCCCCAAGCCGTGATTTTTCTGCCACTATCATTTGGTAACCATAGCAAACCACTCTGTGTAAGACTAGAGTTGGTATGTTACAATGTGACAATGCTCCCTGAATAATTTATATCTAAGGCTCCATTTCATAGTTATTTGTTATCCTATGGGTTTTCCCCTAAGATATGCCATCTAATTTCAATTTAAAATGTAAGTTCAGTAAATTACCACTGCACAGAAGTTGCTTTAACATGCCATTTGTGAAGGTAATGGTGCACATTGTAACAGAAGTGTTTCAGAGTTTCCACTCCTGGGATTACAGACTCACAGTAAGCTGGTAAATGGGGAACAATGAGGAGTTTGCTAGAAAATGGAACAAATCCACCTTAACATCTTAAAGCAAATCACACATTAATGTTGTAAACTCTGTGGGGCAATGTTTCTACAACAGCATGGACATCTAGATTCCCTGTCTGCATTAAGCAGAAAGGAAGTATATATATTGTCTGTTGTGTATTTAGACACTGATTCCTGAAAGTGTGCTTAGGAAGAGTATTAAGACATATTTATGGTAAGATATAAATAAGGCCCATTACACTGACAGTTCTTAATCTTTGTCTTAAAATTATTTGAATCTTGTCATATTCCCTGAGTATATGATTTTCTAAAAAAATCATAGCTTCAGTTAATAGCCAGTCTACATAACGAGTTCAATGATGATTTAACAAGGTATCATCCAGCTATTACTGAAAGTTGTATAGATCTCTGCTATTTTGCAAGAGAAACTTAAGATATGGTATTTTACCTTAAAAAAGTAATATAAATTATATAGCAGTAAATGCATTTCAGAAAAATTCACTTTGTTTATGTCTTGCCAAACTAAAAAGAAAGTAATGTCACTACAATCATTAGGACTATTTTTCTGTGCATGAGGCCACATTTTGGCAAAATGTCTCTTCTTAGGTATTTAGGTTTAATACTTATTCTTAACACTCATTATATTTAATAAGGTTTAAACACCTGCATAAATTAATTAAATTAAGTATTTCTGGAGCAAGACCAGTAACTAAGTTGGCATCTGCTGATTTTATAACAGCATTTTAGATTTTGTTTTATTACTTTGTCATACAACTCTGTACTTTGATAGGGTAATACAACGTAACATTCTCCTGCCAAATAAATGTGCGAATTTAGAACTGCTTCTGACTGAAATTACGTAAGTAGTGTACTCAAAATAAAGGGATTGATATTTGGGTTATAATGTGCAAAGCTACCAGATACAAGTAATGTAACAGTGAATACTCAGGCTGTATATCTCTTGCTTTAGTGACTAGTATCTAAGGACATATTCTGTCTGCCTAAGAGATAGTCGGGATTCAGTAAGCCAACTTTTCATTCCTAGTCACAAACCTGTCTTTTTGGTGATTTCCCTCATGTAAATTTGAAAGTAGATCTTGTGTAAGTAAAGTTATGTGTAAGTAAAGACTGCATACCAGCACTAAATACATCCTGCTGTCTGTTAGGCAAATCTCATGGACCATGGAGCTTCTTGAGAGTCCTTAGGAAAGAATTAGGCATCACTTGCTAGTGGGAAGGTGTGTCTGCAAGACAGTCAGTTCCCTTCTCTGCGGTACCCTTAACTTGACGGGGGTGGTTATCGCTGTCACTGCATTGCCTTTGGCCTGTTTGATGCGAGTTCATGAGGCACAAGAGGAAAGGTTTCACAAAAGAAGGAAATCCAGGATTTTAAGTCAAATCTTACATTGCTTGTGATAACATGCGTAACAAGCAATTATTTGAGGGAAGGATGCAGAAAGGGTGGAAAAAGGGATGGTCTGTGACATGATACAGCAACAGAAACAAATTTAGATTGTGTGTAAGATGTGCTACTTTGAGACTGATATGCCTGGTTCAGGAAAAACACTCAGAGCATGCAAGTGCACTTCTGAATGTGAATAGCCTAAATAATTCTAGAATCCATTTACAAACCACTTACATCTACCTAAGCCTGCTTGCATGATTTCTGATGCCTGTCAGCCACGCAGGACCATACTGCTCATCATGCAAACAGGAAGCTGTTTTCACTGAGCTGGCCAAGCATCTTGCTGAACTGTGGGCCCTGAAACCTCTTGAGCACTTGTTTTTAATCGAGGGAAGATCTTGGCCTGTTGCAGTTCCATTCTGTTTTCTTTTTTGTTTCTATTCTTTTCCCTCCTTGTTCTTTCACTTTCTTTAGTAGTTCTCATCCAGGATGGTGAGGTAGTAATAGTGACAGTTCATTATATCCAGTAACTGAAATGATCATTGAATATTCTATCATGGCAGGTTACTATTCATAAGTTTCTGATACTACTGTTTCTGACATATATGTTGCATATACATACTTCAGGTATCTGATAAAACCCATTGCTTTGGATCCAACAGGCCAGAACCAGTACTGTGGACAAAGGATGGTGGAGAACTACCTGATCCAGAGAGAATGGTTGTCAACGGCAGGGTCCTAAGCATCAGTTTCCTAAACAAAACAGACAATGGCACATACCGATGTGAAGCAAAAAATCCTATTGGCCGAAACAGCACAGAGTATGTCCTGATAGTACATGGTGAGTGCGTTCTTGTCAGTTTTTTGATGCATGTTATGCATATGTAGCATTGCAAGAAACTACAATCAGTTTCTTATGATCATTACCAAAAGAATAGCAAGAAAAAGTTGGAAGTATAATTGCACTTTTATTGATGCTATCATCTAGTTGTGGGGAGTATGTTTACTTCCTTTTATTGGCATGCCTCTCTTTATACAGTTTAAACAAAACTTATTCACTTACGTTGTGAACTTTTTGCAAAGTAAACACCTGTAAAAATGTTTTGCAGTATGTCAGTACTATTTTCTAAATACTTGCCTTAGGCACACACTGTTCTGACAAAGCTGGTTACAAAAGGATATATGAAATGAAGTAAGAAAATACAAGACAGATGGTTGTTTGAGGTTTTTTGTTGTTTTATTGGGTTTTATTAATAGACCACCAAAGACAGGATATCAGATACTTTTCTTCACACAAGTTATAGCCTGCTACTGAGAAGTTTCAACTTATACAAGTTAGTTGATCATGATCTGGCCTATTGTTACAGTCAGTCCTCAAAAATGTCATGTCCTAAATTCCCATTGCTTCTTCTAAGATAATTTAAAAACAGGAAAGTTTATATTAAATTACAATTTATTTATTTTCCTTAATTAATTAGGCAGCAATATGAGTAACATGAAAACAATAGCAGGCTTTTACATTAATTATTAAATAGATTGAAATAACTCAGATACTGGAGAAATTATAGTACCAAGTTAGCATTTGCCTTTAATACAGCTTTGCAATATGGATCTAGCAGTCTCTAAACATGATGTTCTCTTATCACAGGTATGTAGTGATAGTTCCTGGAAAATTTTGAGTTCTATAATTTGCATTTTAACCTAAGTGAATATAGAGGTGAAAGCTCCACTGTAGCTCATGATGGTAATTTTTTTTTCCCTCTAGTTTTATAAAAAATGCAACTTATAAAAATGACAAAATAAAATGAAACAATCTAATACAAATTATAGCCTGTAAATAGACATGAGAACTGTATAGATTTATTTGCTCATGATGAATTCAGGTATAACTAATGTATGTTTCTTTGGTGTTTACAAGCTCTCAAAACCGTTTTTCACTAAAAGTTTAACCTGCCTTTAGGTATTTGGCAAAAAACTTCTAATAAGTGCTTCTTTCAGCTTTCAGTAATGAGATTTTTTTTTTTGGCACTGTTGATGAAATGTCATTTATCAGAAGAACCCCTTAGATTACTTTTCATTTTTCTTAAAGTTCACTATTAGTTTATGTAGGATTAGTGGCACAAGTAAGGAGGAGGTCTTTGCATGAGGAACACAGAGCCTGTACTGCTGCGTGAGTATTTCTGCATTAAAGACAATCAGAAAAACTAAACCCGCTAACCTCTACTTACATTGATTCCTACAAGAAAAGAAAATGAAAAACTGCCTTTTGCATCCCAGAGGTGGTGGTGTATTGGTTCTTGGTTGAAGTCACAAAGTGCACTGCCTTTGATGAGGTAATGGCTTCTGTGCTTACCAAATGTTGAAACTTTTGTTGTTTGTGTTTTCTGCCCAGTTTATTTATCTGATTATATCTGAAGACATGGCCTTTTATAATGGTAGATTTTTCCATCAGTGGTGACTTTGCAATATACCTCTGTCAAAGAATATTTCACGGTCTCATATGTGTCTTTCGCATAGTGGCATGCCCCCTGTTGATCTGATTATCTTGCAACAACTTCATGGCAGTCTGTAAAATCATTCATTATCAGGAAGGCATTCTGCTATGTTTGGCAGCACATTAGGCATGTCATCAGGTTTAGCTTGCACATTGCTGACCTTTTCTGTTATGAGTACCAGAGTTTTCCTAATTACATTTCTGCAATTCCAGTGTTAGAACTAGAGAAGGTAAATGTCAGGTGCTTCCGAGGTTTCTGAAACAATGAAGTAGCGTGACAGAGTGTTTGATGTTTAGTGCTTAACAACTTACTGCATTTCAGAGTTGTTAAGTTTATTTTAAGTAGAGAAGAGACTGACACAATTATTTTATCAAGTGTAGCACAATCAGTTGTATAGATCAACTTAGGCAGTGTCTTACCCCTTCTTGAGCTCATTACGTTCATGAATGTCTCTAGTGAAAAATAATCCTCCCAAAATTATACAATATTCTCTCTCTCTCTTTTTCTCTCTCTCTTGGGGCTAGCAAACCTACATTTTAGCATTTTTGGAGAAGCATTCTTCCATTTAATAGAGGTTGTATTTTTTTCTATATCTTCCTAAATATATCTGGGAGCATCCTTTGATTTCTCATCCCTTCCCCTGTGCATAATGTGTCAATGTAGTTTTTTTATTTCTTCTACTCCTTTGTTAGAGCTGATTTGTCATGTAAGTATACCCTTTTACCTTGAATGTTAAGTTTCTAATACAAGTACATGCCAGATTTAACAATGGAGTGAGGTATGTTCACAGAGACATGGGAGAGAAGAGGGGAGAAATCTGCATAAGGAGGCAATCTCTTCACAAGAGATTCCTTTAAATTGCAAGTCAAGTAAGTAAGGTCTAGGAAAAGTAACCTACCAGATCTGTAAGTAGTAAGGCATAAGTGTCAGGATTGCTAGTAGCCACTGCCCTAATGGCACCTCTGGAATTCCAGTTGTTAAACAACTAATAGTTTTTCTAGGAAACGCTCAAGCCCAGGGGAGTTGCAGTGATGGAAAGAAAGAATGATAAACACATGTCCAAGTTTAGACAGATGCTATGCCTGATTCAGTTTTTCCAGGTGAGCTTGTTTGAGAAGGCAGGGGACATCAATGGAAGGTATCCTTTGCAGAGGCAGGGGAGCGTAACCTCATTCAGAGCTTTTCTTTTCTTATCCATATTGTGATTTCTGGTACATTTTTGCCCTTTTCACTTCTACTTCAACAGATTTTCTGACTTTGTGTTTATTAAGGTTGTAAAATTTTCATCTGGCTTCTATTACCTTTTTCCCCTATGAAATCCACCTCTCAGTGGGAATCTACTAATCTAAGTCTACTAATTCTCTCAATTTCTGAAGTTATCTTCCTAACTCAAAAGGATTTTAGACAGCTTTTGCATAGAGAGAAGCTTGCCTAAAAATAGAAGGTATAGTTTATCATAATTGGAGATTAAGGGTAAGCAAAGTATTTATACATATTAATTGTACAAACTATAGAGTACAAATTGTACAAAGCATAGAGTATCTAATGCCTTTAACAGGACCAACCTAGACACAAAATTATACAGAAAAGTAGTATTTTCTCCACTGTAAATGATGATGAATTAATACTGTTCTGATAAGTGATGGCAGTGGAAATAAATATTGTTTTAAGCACATGAGTGGCAATCTGTCTAATATAATTAGTATCTGATAACATAAAAAGTCTTCTTGGATTTGTAGTGTAATTAAAGAAATCAGACTTCACAAAAATTGAATATATTTGAATCAGGTAAAAGACATGGGCTATTAAATATGCTCTTGCTGCTTTGCTGAATCAATACGACTGCTACTTTCATTTTTCTTAACTGTTACTATTAATAATAAATGGCAAGAAAACACTATGTGAAGCAGGAAGGTGGGCACAAAGTCAGAGTTTATAGGCAGCACAACAAAGGCAAGATGTAGTTTGCTCAAACATTTGTTTCACGCAGTAACAAAGCCACAAGCTTTAATGCCTGTAGCTGTTGTCACTTCTGTATTCTGATTGGCGAACTTAGTGCTTTAGAAGTGCACATTCTGGCTAGATATATTATAACCTTTCTTTGGCAATGGGCCCCAGGCATTTTTCACTCTCTTCCAATTTATTAAGAATTTTTGTTTACCTTTGTCCAAATACTAGTCATTAATCATCAGAAAACAGATCTAACTGTCAAACTCATGATGCGCAACTCAAAAACATAGATTCTACTTGCAAAGCTTAGGAATAACTGCATTGATTTAGCTGAAGTTGAAAAAGGAAGTGGTCCATCATCATCAAACTGAAGACACAGCTGTTATGTATGTAGCAGTAGTTTATAACCTCTGGATGTCACTGCTGAAGACTTAGTTCAACATCATATTGATTGGGTGACAGAAGTCCACATCATTGGGGAATTTTCTTAATAGAAACAGCAGCATTTGATAATTTGCAGACCTATTTTAAATGAAGTACCTCGGTGAACTATCTTGATTTGCCAGTCTAAAGACACACATTCAATTAATTGAAATATTCAGAGCTATAATGTGTTCTGTATCAATTATCTATCAAAGCAATATGGAAATTAACATGAATCGGCAGCTGTGGATGGTCAAGGCAGTTTTTACAGTCACAATTTTACATGCAGTAGAAAGCACTTGAGCCAGTAACTCAGTATCTCTGGAGAATGAAAGTTGCATAACATATTCTCTTGGCTTCAGCCTCTCAATTATTTTGTATTTTTGTCTTGGATAAGCTATTTTTTGCAAATACAGCCAACTAAAAGACCAAGTGACATCCTGACTAATATTCCGAAATGTCCTTTCAAACAGACAATCTCTTACAATGTGCAAGACCAAAGGTCCCACTGCACCTTTCCTTTGGTTTATAATGTATTTATCTTCAAACTGCTTGTCCAGACTGATTTCAAAACATTTATCATCTTAGCTTTCACAATAACCTGTGGCAACAAGTTTCTGAATTGAATTATGTGCTTTGAGGGAAAAGTATTCTCTTTTGTTTGTTTAAGCCTGCTGCTTGATCTCTTCACTTCCCAAATTTTCAATCCGTTTGGCCTCTTTTGCTCTTTGTGCTGTAAGTATGGAAAATTTCACTGTGACGGATGTTCATGTTTGCATTCTGATGGCATTGTCTCATTCCTCTTACAATCACTGCCATAGTTTCTTTCAAATCCCAATACATCTCCTATTATAAATTCTTCCACTTAGGCCAGTGGCTTGTATCCTTTTCTAAGTCCCATAGCTGTTGTTAACTCTGTAATGTTCTTATTTCCACCTTCATTTTGCCATTTGCGAGGCTGATCGGTGCATTG